TACACAATAGGCTGTTCCTACTTCTCCTTGGTATTTACCTAGAGCATTCCGAGAAGACACTCCATAGGAGGTTTCTCCACAGGAGATTTCTTCATAGGAGATTTTTCCGCAGGAGGTTTCTCCACAGGAGGTTTCTACATAGGAGGTTCATAATCTTATTGTTTTAGAGGAAGAGTAGGTAGTGGTTCAGCCTAGTTCTTATCAGGTTTCTAAGCCTATTTTTAAACTATATAGAGACGGTTTCCGAGGTCGAATTACCTCGGGAGGTCTTAGTTAAAACAATTACCGATAGTTCTGTCACCGAGATAGCTTCTATTCTACCGGAACACTTCATTCCCCGACGATCGAGCCGGACGAGACGATCGCCTAAACGATACGGTTTTCCTACGGAACTCACTAAGACCATATCGATTCCGAGAATAAAACCGAAACCGAAACCGAGACTATTAAGTCAACCGAAGCGAATTATTATAGAACCGGACGTTCTATAGGATAATAATAGTACTAATGAAGGATTAGGTAATAATAGTAATTAAGGCAGGGGGAGACTTATAAAGTCGAGAGTTATTACAAAACAGAGCACTCCTTTCATTTATAACGGCAAGCCTTTATACGTTAAGGACGTTATTATTCCCTAGTCTTATAATAAGGCGATGAATTCTCGATTTTTAGACCGCTAGTAAGTAGCGATAGAAGATTAGTTTAACGACGTTTATACGAAAAGGACTTTTAATATCATTCGCAAACCGCCGGGGGTAGTGCCTCTACCGAGTTAATAGGTTTTTAATCTCAAAGTAACGAAAGACAACCTTATTTATAGTTTCAAAGCGCGCTAGGTGGTTTGTAGTAACTACTAGCAGAAGAAGGAGGATTCAATCTTCTATACTCTAGTTGTTTAGAACGTTCTTATAAAGATCATCTTTACACTCATTACGCAGAGAGGTTACAATTAGCGTCAGTTTAATATAGTAGCTACGTATCTCAATACTTCTCGTAAAGATTAAGAGACAGTCTATATCGTTCAACTAGTAGGTTTTGAATACTCCGAACCTAATATCGGAAGCAAAAGTTGGGTTTGTTAGTTACGGTAGGTATTGTTTAGCCTTTATGATTCGGCAGCTCTATAGAATAAGGAACTTAACAGAAGACTAGTTAAGATTAGGTTTTATACTCTTAATAATGATTCGTATATCTACGTTAAGATACATAATAGTTCAACGTAGTTTCTTCTTATTTATATTAATGATTTTATTAGTATAGCTCCGACCGACGGAGAGGTCGAGATGATTTTTCAGCAGGTAAAGGGTTAGTTCGAGATTAAGGATATAGGAGAACTATCCCGTTTTCTTAGCAGTACCGTTACCCGGGATTACGACAAAAGAACAATTCGGATAATATAGTAGGCATACTATCTAGAAGCACTTCGCTTAGCAGAGATATAGGTATATTCTCTAATCTCGATTCCGCTTTCTCTAAACCACAAATAGGATAACGGTAATAAGGATCCCGACGCTCTTCTAGATTAGGAGGGGCATACTTTATTTAGGTCTTTAGTTAGTAAACTCAACTAGCTAGCAGTTAAAACTAGACCTAATATCAAATTCAATATTATAAAATTACAACATCGTTCTACTTCTCCGACTACCAACGATTTATAAACAGTCCGTACTGTCTATAGGTATCTCAGTAACACAACATACCTTAGTATAACGCTAGGGGGGGTAGACGATACCTCGTTCTTTACGTATACCGATGCTTCGCATAGTAATTAGCATAATTCAAAATCGATAGAGGGTACTATTTGGTTTTTCGGTAGCGCACCTATCATTTAGTACTCGAAAAAACAGAGTATTATGACTCTATCGTCGACAGCTACGGAATAGTATGCTCTAGATCGACCTACCAGGAATACTTAGTAGATTTCAAAGATTGCTAAGGCACTTAATCTTCCTAAGGCAGGCAATCCAATTATTATTTTAATAGATAACATCAATACTCAGTTGCTAATAAGCAAGAAATCGTACAAGAACAGCATACGTTAGCTTAACATAAAGTGGTTTTTCGTCAAGGACGCTATTTTCCAGAGGAAGATCGATTTACGGCGCGTCGAGACGAAGAGCAACGTCGCCGACGGGTTTACAAAAGCGCTTAACAAAGAAGTATATATAAAGTTTATCCGGATGTTAGGTCTTAATTAATCTACATATTAAAGTTTACGGGTAGATGCAGGTTTACGATATACAGGAAATAGTAGAAAATGAGAAAACAAAATAGAGAGTTTTTATTAGTAGAGACAAAGAGATATAGTGATAGTCTTCGTCCTGAAGGGGGTGTTAGAGTCACGTAACGGCCATGTGGGGCCGCAGGTAATCCTAACACACAGAACTCAGGATATTATTAGACAGTAGCTAGTTTTTCTTCTCTTCTTTTCTTTCTCTCCAGAGTCTACAATATTAATCCCTTGAGGTTAACATTCATTCCTACATAGCCTGCATTCCATCTAACACATACGCTATTCCTTAGACCGGAGAATATACTAATAAATCGGTTTACAATAAAGATAAAGAATAGATCGGGTATAATAGTTAAACTTATTTCTAGAGGGCGGTAAATTCTATTTAATCTATAGCCAATTAGTCATTCACTAGCCCTACCTACCCTATCTCCCCCTACTTAATAGATTAGTCCCTTCTCGTTATAAAGGTTGAAACTCCGTCTCATATAGCCTTACTCTCTATTCGAGGTATTTACGAACTAATTCTCTTAAACAGTCTCGTACTTCATACGATACAGATACTAGGAAGTTAGCGTCTAGTTTATTATTCAAGGTAATAGACTTACCTATAACTAGAACCTCACCGCGGTCTTCATAAGTATTTAGCAGCCGTTTTATATTTCGCCCGGAAGCCTCTTCTAATATAATTTCATCATATCGAGGCTTTCTATTAAAAACTATCGCGCGGCGATACTAACCAAACGGCTTACTATATTCTATCATCTAGTTTAATACCACAAAAAAGGACATTTCGAGTATCTATATCACATTATTAGCGCGAGTATAATTAAATAAGAACAGCCAACCCACATAGCCATCATCCAAGATATCATCGCTTAACAAGCTATTTAGAAGCGGTTAGGCTACAACAGCAATATCTAAGAAATTTAGTATCGTTAGTTTACTCTTTAAACGTAGAGGCCGAACTTACCTAATATTTAGACCTCCCACACGAAATATACCCGGCGTATATATAACGTACAAGTATTATACCCGTATAGGAGCTTTTTAAGATAAGATATAATACCTACTATACCGAAATCGGTCGCAATTACCAAGACACATTCGTAATAGTCTACAGATTTACTAACTCTATACGGCCCGCTAACAAATACTATCAAGGAAGTATAGCCATCTAAGGCTATACGATAGTAAATAGTTTCAGTAAGCCCTCTTCGAGGTTAAACAAAAAGCTCCAAGACATCCTACTTTTCTAGCGACCAAGATATCACCATAAACAGGTATATCTAGGCCTAGGAGAATAGGCTTACCGCGGGTATCTAGAGACTTATATATTAGCCTACCTCGATATATAGGGGCCTTATAAGTACAATCTTTACTTTTAGCGGTATTACCTCTTTACTCTATATCGGTATTTATTATACCTAATCACATCTAATAGAGGCACGAGAATAGGGACGTAGGGGGAAGACACCGTTCCTAACGATAAAAAGGAAAAGTTCGACTAGTAATACAAGTAGCATTATACCAAGCGGAATATAAACATACAGCCGGGGCAGCAGAGTACCGGATAGTAGATACCGCCATACAGAATATATATAAGCTATAGCTAGAGATTAGTATAGTCGAAGGAATAGCTCATAAAGGAAACGGCGAATAAAAGAGAAGGATAACAATAAAATCGCGGCTATAATCATAAAGCCCTAAGAAGGATTAGCGCTACTAATCTAATAAGGTAGGTTAAGTAAGAGCGACGATAAATAATTAATACGAAGAAGTTAGGTTTCTCACAAAGTATCTAGCTCTTCCGATCAGTTATCATTACTATAATAATATATAAACCAAGAAGAATGCCAGTCATCCAACCTATAGCCCGATAGATACGCTTACACACCATCAAAGAAACACCCATAGCGTTTATAAGGAATCCCAAATAGTATACTAAGAATAGGAAACTCATATTAATCACTAAAAGGATTCCAGCGCGGTCTCTTACCATTATTATTAACGGAGTCTTAAAGGCAATAAGAAAAATATTTGTTACAGCGTACGCGAGATATAATAAGGCATCTACTCGAGTACAAGGAGCAATCAGCCTATAGCGACCCTATAAGTATAAATATATTAAGTATTTCGTAATAAGGAACGACAAAATTCTAAATAGATTTAGAAAGGAGGGGGCTATACGAATAAGAAAGAGCATTATCAGTAAGCACCCCACTATAATAGCGTAAAATATCGTAATTTCCATTATTAGTCAGGACATAGGTATCACATATTTTTCAACTATTACAAGGAAACCACGGCGCTTTATACTCCTAGGGTAGTAATCCTCACTAGTAGGATAACTAATATTTATACCGGAAGTAACAACTCGTTCAGCGTTACCACGTTTATTTCTCAGGCACCTATATCGCTACTTAGAACCGTTATTATACTAAGGTATATATCTCTCATAATATAGTCTATTATAGGGCGGCTCATCTTCCTTTCCCTACCCTAATTTAGCGGCTCTTCCTAGTTAAGCTTCGAGCCTCTTCCTACTTTATTCATAAAGCTCAAAATAATACTATAGACTACTATAGTATTTGGCTTAGCATAGCCTCTAATATACTTCTTAACATAGTAAGTAAGAGAGTAAAAGGAAAAGTAACAACTATTTTTCACAAAAATGTCTATAGGCGAAAACATACTACAATAAGGATTAAAATATATACACTTAAATACTCTAGTATATAGCAGTTGCGTTATAAAGTGCCTATCGTTACTCCCTAAAAACTATCTCCTCCCAGGTTTTCTCTAAATCACAATCTATCATCATAGTCGGAGTCGGGTAATAAGAGCTCTAGTAAGTCAGCGCTCCGCCTAGTAGATAATGCTATATAGTTTATATACCAATTACAAAGTAAGAAAAGCCCAAAAGCCCGAAGCATCCGCCGACAAGATATATACCTAACCGGTCTCCCGTATACGAATACCTACGCACACATCTACGCTACACATCCTACTATATTCGCATACCTTTTTTATTAGACTTATTTTACGACAGCATTATTTTTACCGTATCAATTTTATTTTCGAAGTAGCATCCTTAGACCTAATAGCCTTAATAGCGGCCATTAAACGGATTGCCTTAATATCTAGGGATTCCTAGGAGAAGAGAAACCTATATAGAAAACATAGATAACGGGAACTCTTATAAAACTTAGGTCTACTAATAGGAAAGGGCTCAATAAATATAAATATTATTATACAAAGGGGAGTCATCAATCATAGAACGCGAGAAGACCACGAAAATTAGTCTTTTATATATTAAACTCACAAAGCGGCCCCCGTAAGACTAGAAGGGCATTCACCGGTATTATTTACGGTCATTAAATAGGTACGGTAACGTAAAAGCAACCGTACTTTCAACGTTATTAACATATTGCCCGCCAAACCTTTTACGTAACTATAACGTCACTATAGCATACCTTCAGCACCAACAACCCTTCATATTAATCGAAATATTCATTAGTACATATACGTAATCTCAAGCAGCCGGGCAAATAAATTTATCATCGGTTAACGTAAAAAAAGACTATTCCGGGCGGTACCTAGGTATTAGAAAATACGCGTTATTTAAGGCGGAGAGTATAGTATAGTCAACGGTATTTAATAGACACTTTACTTCTTTCAATATATTTACATTAATTATATATAAACGAATTAATCAGTTTATTATTATTTTCGGCCGTTCTATACGCCCCCAACAGAAAGTTCATATAATTACATAACTAGGCAGAATCATAGTATCAAGATACTAGAGAGAGGCAATAAAAGTATAGGCAACAGAAAGAAGAGGTAATACATATTAACTAGGCAAAAAGCCGGTATAAATATTTTTTAGAGTAAGGTATCATATTAATAAACAATACGATACAACAGTTATTTAGGAGTCGACCGAACGTACATTATCAACGACGATACTAATATTACAGAAAAATAAGGATAGAATAATTAATAGCGTACTAAGAGTTATCAACGAGCGTAAGAAGGCCAATCAATACTAGTAAAGCATAAAGGTCAACAGGCAAGAGAAGATTTACAGCCGATAATAAACAATTGATTGTCTCAGAAATCCGACTACAAAATTATTAAAAAGAATAAACAAACCGATTAATTTATTTATCTTTTTTATCAACGCAGTAAAAGAAGGTATTCATTAAGTATAATTGGCTAGTAAACACTCTCCACTTTAAACCAAGCGAATTTCCTAATACCCAGGCACCCCCAATATCTATTAGAAGAATCATTTCATCCTACCTACCCATAGTAACATACCAACTTTTATACTAGATTTCCCAGGCATCAAATTCAAGCCAACCTTATTAGCTTATATATACCACTTATATATACCACTAGGTAGTATCTATATTTGTTTACATATACACCAAACTTTAATCCGGCTTAGGGCGGATCATACTTAGAGCATAATCGTGACTTCTTTCTCCTCCGATACCTAGGGATGCCAGAGTATAGGATATTACACGTAATCTAATAACAGAAAGATCGGTTAGCTCTTAGTCGGCCCATCTATATACCCGGTAGGGCATTAACTAATTAGTAACGGGTAGGTCCGTAACAGCCTCCCTATTCCAAGATCTCAGCATAAGCGGCGAAGGGTTATACGTATATACGGCGGTAACCAATCGTATTTCTTAATCCTAGGTTCTTTTCTATAGAGACAAATCTCGCATAGCCTTCTAGTCTTACACCGTACTAAAATCTAGTTAATAGTATCTTAATTAGGCCCAGCGTAACCCTAAGCAAACATAAAGAGAAACGCTAACCGCCTCTAGCTATTATAAAGCCTAAGGCTACAGCCTTATCTAAAAACGGGTATCTATATAGACTACAGATATTCACGCATACATTACATACTTCTTACTAGATCACCATAATATAGCATACACTTTCTAGATCAAAATCGCTACAAGCACAACGCCTAGCCGCCTCGCAAACTATAATCTTATCGATTTGCTAAGTCTCAGATACACGCGCGGCCACCACTATATACGTATTTAGTAGACGAATATCTTATTAGTCGAACACCCCCTTTAGTAGGAAGTCTTCTAATTTAGACAATAAATACTATAATATAAAAATTACTATAAGGAAATTCAAGATCATTATTCTACTAGGGATCACACCACCTACACGACGATAGGCTAAAGAGCGCGAGAAAGCAAAGAGGCCGGTATACCGAAGAAACCCATATAATACGCTATCACTAAAGCAACGCTATAATAGGAAGAGCACACAAACAAATTACTAGTAGTAAATTAATAAAGTACAAGATACTAGTTACAATATAGTCTACTTAGAAAAGTTCATTTCCCTTTCTTTCTATCTCATTCTACTAGCCACAGTCTAAACCCTATATTTCCCCAATATAGATTAGTATTACTTATACGACCTAAAATAGCGGTAGCCCGACTTCTCTCCCCCAACATCTCCTAGTTAGAGCTTATATCCACAGCATAACCCACCATAGAGGAAATCTTTCGGTCTTTAACAACGGAGAAAATCTAGGAGCTACTAGTAATCTACGGAATCAGTAACTACTACGATAAGCCTATTAAGCAACATATACTTAGTATTTCTAACTTCAGTAAGCCCCTAAACTACTATTCGAGCAACTATATCCACTAACACGTATAGTCCGCTAAATAAGATAGGAGGTAGGAATAATAGATCCACCACCTCTTCCTACTCCCATAGCTAGTCCGGATCCTAAAGCAAAGCGCGGCTCTTATCGGTTCCTCCCTATACCTAAAAAACGAAGTAGAGCGGACTATACGGGGTTAGACGTACCGTCTTATAAAAAGAAAAGGAAGAACAAAGTCAAGGCGAAAGACAAGACTACTCTCAAAGAAATATCGTAAGGGATAAATAATACCGTACTACCTATAAAAAGAAATATATTAACCGATTCCCCGTCGATAGATAAAGCGAACATAGCGATAAACTTACCCCGGGCTAGAACACCCTTAACCGACGTATATACCCATCAAGATAGAAAAGTGCCGTATAGTATCGTCGAGAACATACTTATCAACTATATCAAGCTTAGCGATCTACTCGGAAGATATAGATACTATTCAAAGCAGGCAATTATAATAATAAAGGTTAAGGCGATTTAGAGTTTTATAGATAGCATTATCAAGTTGCAATACCCCGATACAGTCTAGCTAATCAAGCAGGAGAATATATTCTCGGCAAGCAAAAGTATCCAATCTCGATTTAACGAGACCGTATATTAGGAAATCATTAAAAAAGGCGCCGAACTCCTTAACCTAAAGGATTTACCAACCTCCAAAAGCCCTCTTAATAAATTTACGATAGCCGAGAAGGTCGCTACCGAGCGCTTTATAAGGGAAGCGGATTATAGACTTAGCCTCGCTAATCAACAGTAGTACCGTCTTTTTTAGAAACGACTATTCGAGATACGGAACGCGGGTATTAACAAAATCCTCTTATATCGTATAAAGGAATTCGACCGCTTCTACAAAAGCTACTCGTTAGAAGCTAGAGCTTCTTTAGTAGAGATAGTCCGGAACTAGGAAGAAAGATATACCTTCTATATCAAACAGTTAGAAGAGCGTATAGTCGAGGAGAGTAAGGGCGGTTTCACGGGAAGACTATAGCTAAGCCAGTCGCTTATAGTAGACAGACTTCGTATTCCTAAAAATACGTAGAATAGCGCTACCAACCTATAGTTCTCTAGCGTAGAGAAAACTGTCTTCTAATTAAGCAGGTTATACAAGCTATCCGCTATTATACTCGGTAGGTTCTTTGACTTACAGCTAAAGGCAGAAATAATATAGAACAAGTCTATTTTCGTTATTCTTCAACCTAAAGACAATATCTTTTGTTAGAGTCACGTGACGGCCATGTGGGGCCGCGGGTGATCCTGATCCACAGAACTCAGGGTAATGGTAGACAGTAGCTAGTTTTTCTTCTCTTCTTTTCTTTCTCTCCAGAGTCTACAATATTAATCCCTTAAGGTTAACATTCATTCCTACATAGCCTATATTCTATCTAACAGGTTATAAGCCCTTGCTCGTACGACTCCGAGCATCTTTTCGTTGAAATTTTCAACCAATCAGAGTTTTCATTTTTCTTTTATAGGACGCGTTTTTCGGCCCGTTCCGCATCTCTACTTTTCGACTGTCGATCCTATCATTGATTTTTATCGACGATCTCATCGTAAGTCAACATTTTCATCATTCTAATCATCTAGGAAGCTTCGTTTTCCGTAGTTACCTTATCGACGCGACGGACGGTACCGCTTCGCGCATTTCTTTCGATCGAGACCGAAGACGGACACTCGACGTATAGTCAAAATGACTAGTTCCTACGATAATAACGATAACAGAGGAGAAGGTTCCTCACGTTCTCTCCCCGCTTCTCGCTAGCAACACAATCCTATTTCTAATAGTCAGCAATATCAACAACGTAATCCTATTAGACGGACACATATATAGGGGACTAATCTTCCGGAAGTAAAGGAGATTAAGCTTAATAAGGGTATCAAATTGGCTCTTAATAGTAGTAATCTAGTAAGATAGAAACGATAGATTATTAATAGATTAAGTATAGCGCGAATCGATTAGGTCGCCGACTACAATCTTCCTCGTCCTACCGAATTCGATCCTAATTACAATCTATAGAGATACTAGTCGAAGATTTCTAGTAGATAGATCGAAGGTCTTCTAGATCAGAAGATTATTATAACTCTTAAAGGATATATAAATAGTTTCCCGATTTACGCCGATTATATACTACGTAAAGTCGAGTCTATTATTCGTAGTACTAGTATTATTAATAACGTAAGACGTAAGGTGATTAAATTCGACGAGATAAAGAGATTATACTTTAGTTCTGCTAAGGACTATATTAATACCTACTAGACCTAATATAACTAGCTTAGTATATATAAAGTCGAATCTTACCTATTCGGAGCGTTATTTATAATACTTCGATAACTAGAAGATAAACTTAAATCGGTAACGTTTACCTACGAGACTTTGAAAGATAAGATACTAGATTCCGTTATAAAGGAGGTTTTTAGCGAT